GACTGCGACGACGACGACGACGACGACGACCACGACGACGACGACGACGACGACGACGACGGCGACGACGGCGACGGCGACGACGGCGGCGATGACGACGATGCGAGCCGTCGCTTTGATTTTGATCCGAATGAAAATGTGTTGAACGGTTCTCGTTTTCAAGGTGCGGCGGGAACTTTACATTAACGTTGCGCGCGGCGCAGAGCGCGGTCTGGATCATAAGGTCCAGCGATCGCTTCACCTACATTGCACCACATAGATTGCACCACGTAAGTGGGCACCGAACGCGATGCATTACATATTTAGTGGCCTTCGGCACATCCCGCCACCCTGCCCGTGTTGCGGGTTAGAGGCCTCTTGGATGTTCGTTGGGATGTAGTGGGGGACCCCTCGGGTGCCTATTGGGGGCAGTTTGGAGGCCTCTTGGAGCGTTTGTGAGTATATTTGAGCTTATTCTTGGGCCTCTTGGGCGCCTCGTGGGGCCTCTTGTGCGCTCTTGAGGGCCTTTGGGGGCCTCCTGGGAGCCTCTTCGAGCGGACGGCTCGACGAGGAGGCCGAGGGAGAAATATTGATTACTACCAGTACTACCACGACTACTAAGTATTACTACCACGAGGAATCCATAGATGCTCTTGGGGGCCTCATGGCAAGCGCCGACACATAAATTGCACCACAGTGGTAGTTACTAATACTAAGTAGTAGTAGCACTTGTTATTCGTATAAGTACGACTACTAATGATTACTGAGTAGTAGTAGATGCTAAGTAGTAGTGGTAGTAAGTGCTACTACTACTACTACTACCAAGTACTAACACCACTAAGTACTACTACTATTTTCACTAGGAATTATTACTACTACTAAGTACTACTACTATGTAGCAGTAGCAGCTGCAAATATAGTAGTAAGTATTACTACCAATGCTAGTATACTAACAACATGTATTCTTACATTTACACGGTGCATAGATTGTTAATGTAGGTCAACACATGTTCATGTGTTACGTTATTCTGCATATATTGCATATATAGCTGCTGCGGATTGTGTTCCGAGATGCCTCGCACGAGGTGGTCCGCCCAGTTTCGCTTAAGACATCTTCGCAACTCCGGGCTGAGATATCCCTTGGTCTGAGGTGGTCGGGCCAGTCTCGCCTGAGAGATCCTCCCATCTATATAATTAATATTGGTCAACACATGTCAATATGGTATTTTCTTATGCATATATTGCGTATAAAGCTGCTGCGGATGACTCAAGATTTGAAATCTGCAGCTGTATATTTTCGTACGCCATGGCGTACGAATTTACTTACATTGAAGGCGGGGCCGCGATGGGGCCAATGCCGAACTTGCCTCCTTCCATCGCCTGGAACAAACTGGGCCAGCGTCAACAAGATCGCATTGATAACGGCGAGGATTCGGGGAGTGTTGAATGATTGAAGGCCTTATGATTTAAATTGTGCTTTCATAATAAGAATAAGTTTTAGCATTATCCCCTTCCGTGCGTTTGCCCAGAGGACAAGATCTGGATCCCATATAACTTCCAGTGCGCCTGGAAGAAATGGACCTTCCAGCGTTACGACGGCGATCGGGAAACGTTATACATACCATTGTGCCGATTTGTGCCGCTGCTCGGTCTGAGTTTAAGGCGGAGTTGCGTTCGTGCCTCCGCGGGCTGACCGAGGGGACACGTTCGCGCTTCCTGAAACCAGGAGAGCTCGGCCAAATCGGCGCAAGAGTAACTATAGCTGACGCCTCCTCAGGTCATATCATGCTGTACAAGCCTGCCGACGACGAACTGGAATGGATAGCAGTTCGCCATGTTCGCCAAGTGCAAGCGACTGCCGTCCTCGTAAGCTTTTGCCAGTATACGCACCAGCTCTCCATTCGGGTGACGGTCGAGCACACTCAGAATCTGATGCAGGACCTCGACCAGTACATCGCCAATTACTCCACCACGATCTTGTCCGTGAAGGCATATTTGTTAATCCAAGTTTTCAGAGTGGAGGTAGACAGCAACAGATGAGAAGCCTCTTTCAATCGGCTGTCTGCCTGCATTCTTAAAACCTAGAAATAGAAATCTACTTCAGGCGTACATTCGGCACGCGCTTGCCCTGCCAGATCACCGGCCCATCGAGTTAAATATCAACCAGCAAGTGATCAGCAATTGCAAGCAGATAGCTCCTTGCTTCAATCTTAGTCGGAAGCGCCGCCGCTGAGCCGCCGTTGCCCTCCCTCTAGGCCCTGTGCTTTTCGAGTCTGCATATTGATCTCATTGCGCGCGCTGGCTGATGCAGCTGGCAAATATAAACTGGATAGGCTCCAGAAACCTCGCATAGCTTGAAGCAGTTAGGGTGTTGCGCATTACATTTGACAAGAAAAACAGAACATCGCATACCCCGTGCCACGCATGGTTGTCATTGTTGGATTAGCGATGACTTTGAGGTCGATTCCAGGTTTCTCGTTATACCCCAGTCACCAAACAATTTCGTTCGACCTACTTGGCCAGCTCAACCACCAATCTATGTAGAGCAGTGAGAGCTTCTGCCTTCGATCGATCGGGGCGAATTTGCAGCCGACCCTCTTAAGCAGCTACCAGGGCAAGACCTTACCTCCTCCATGTACTCGCCGGTCTCATCCAGGATCACAATGTCTGCGGCGTTGAGCTTTAAGGAGCTTCTTGGAGGCCTCTAGGTCGCGCCTCGGGAGGTTCTAGGGGGCTCTCGTGATCGTCTTGGGTGAGAGGCTCCAATTGTCATTTCGGATTGCCCTAGCCGGTTGTCTCAAACTGTCATCAGAGCTTAGCGCGGGAGAGCTTATCTCCCTTCTCGACTCGGGCCGCAGAGGGGCGGGCTGAGTGGGGGGCCGCGCCAGAGACGCGGGGGGGGGGGGGGCGGGTAGCGAGGCGCCGGCCGAGAAGGCGGAGGCCGATCGGCGCGGGTAGGAGGCCGAGAGACCGCCAGCGGCTTCGGTAGCCTCGCGGACTCTGCCGCCCCGCTCACTCGCAGGATTGCTGAATATTATCAGTAGACTTGCGTGGCTCAAGCAGGCTCGACGCCGCTTTCGCGCGCGCTCCATCCCAGGTTGCCCGACTCAGCTGCGGCCGCGATGTCGTCTCCGGTATTTGAGCACTCTGCCCGTGAGACGCACACTGCCCTGCACCGCTGGAACGCGCCCAATGTGCAGAAGTGGATGACTAAGTGGCAGCACGGCAATATTTCGTCACAGGACCTGCTGTTGCGGTTCGTCGCTGGACTCCCCAACGTGAAGCACCAGGAGGGCGATCAGCATGTCTTCAGAGAGCCAAAGGGCGGTTGGGTGGAACATATGGTGTTTGAGACGACCTTCCCCACGAAGGCAAGCTACAAGTCGTACTGGCACGGGACGACGTTCCACTGCCTCCCCAGCATTCTACAATATGGGCTTAAGAACTCCAGCGACACCCGCATCCACGAGTGCACAGACGTCGGCGTGTATGTGGCTGACACGCTCACGTGGGGCGGCGCCTTCTACCACGGCGTCGCCACGCGGTTCTCAGAGCACCCCGACTTCAGCATCCCGTACACCCGCATCGTTCTGAAGGTCGGATGCGATGGGCCTCCGAAGACCAGCCGTTCTTACGGGGAGTGCTACCAGCTTATCTTCGACGAAAAGCAGATCGTCGTCGAAGAGATTCACTTGTTTCGTGGCTATGGCTTCGCAAACAAGGGTGATAAGTACTTCGACTGCGTCGGCCCCCTGGCCAAGGCGCTGCCCGCGGCGGAGGCGTTCGCTCGGTGCTATTGCTGCGCTGACCGTGACGACACCATTTCTCCCCTGATCGTCCCCAAGGACAGTTTCGTGCCAGGTGCGATGCCGTGCCGCCTGGCTTATCCATGCCGATGCTGCGCCAAAGTGTCGGGTAATAAGTGAGATAGGCCGGCGCCGCGGCGGCGGCCGGCCCTTCCGCGGCCGCGTGAGTGGCTGGGCCGCGTCCTGACTGCAGCAGCTGCGCACGGCCGCGCGTGGAGCGCGCGGCGCGCCCCATGGGAGGGCGGGTTGACACGCGCAAGGGCTTGGATGGGAGCGGGAAATGAGGGGCGCGCGCTGGATTGCATCATTTAGAGGGGTGGCACTTTGTAGCAGTTGCGCAGCGCGCGCGGATCCTGTGGTTCAGGGCTGTTCGCTGCGCCCGAGCACCTCGCTGCAGCGATGCTTGGAACGCCTTGCCGGTCATTGCCGCTGGAAAAAGAATCGTCTCTTCATCTCTATCACCATCGACGTCCAGTGCTCTAATGCAGAGGTACTGCACCACTCGTGAGATTTGAAAAAAGAACGGCCCATAGCGTGGCCCTCGGCCATGGGTCGCCACCAGGACTAGCGGGCGCATAGCGTTTGACAAATTGTTTGCATCGCATAGATTACATTACTCAAACTGCGCCATCCATGTATCACATAGGGCGCCGCGCACGTATATTGCACCACGTGGATTGCGCCGCATAGTTTATACTATGTAGGTTCAACGCGCGATTTTGGGGAAGGCGTGGCGAAGGTATCGATTGCATTACTTAAACCGCGCCATCCATGCATCGCATAGGTTGCCGCGCACATATATTGCACGCGCGGATTGCGCCGCATAGATTGCACCGCGTAGATCCAACGCTTGGCGCACTCCCTTCAATAGGAAGCAGATCATCCGTCAGACCGCCTTCCGCTCGCAGCTTTGACGCATGACCCAGAAGGTACCTTTACAAATATTTCAGTTGTGGATATCTAAGAAGCAGCAACAGGCACATCTCCATCTCTATCATCATCGACGCCCAGAGCTCTAATGCACAGCTCCAGAGCCATTGTCTACAACCCGAGGCATCCCGACTCTTTGCCGTTTAGCTAGCTGCTCTCCCGCTCACGCAGCGCGCGGCCCCGATGGCGTCGGCCGCGGGGCATCCTCCTCCAGAGGGTGCGCGCATTCGCTCCGCCTCCGCGGCAGCCTCATCGGCTGGGCCGGCCCCCCCCGCGCTCTCTCAGTATTCGCGGGATCTCATGGGCAGCTTGGAGGGCATGCAGGTGCCGAACACGCAGGAGGCGGCCCAGCTGGCAGCTGCCGACGACGATATCATCGCCGACTGCGGTCGAGATGATGTGCGGGCGGCTGTGGAGAAGCGCAAGAGGATCCACGGCGCCGAGCAGTCGGATGCCATCTTCGCAGATATATTCCAGAAGGTCGACGCGAAGAAGGGCCGGCTCCGCCAGGTGCGCGCGGCGCCCGTGGCCACGAACACGGGGCTCGTCGCCGACGCCGAGAAGTACGCGGAGATCGTGGAGAGAGAGCGCCCCAACTGGAGCTCGGATCTCAAGCGCATCGGCCTCGCGGCCCTCTGCGTGTACCGCTCCCGCCCAGTGGACGTGGGGACCGTGCAGCACGTGCAAATGATCTGGATCATACTTGGTGGCCGCCTTCTCCGCGCCCACAACGGGCGGGCTTACTTCTACGATCAACGTCTCGGTTACTTCGACGTCTTCGACGGCCTCCTCCCGCCAGAGCTGCTCTTCGCGGCGTCTCGCTTCATGCTGACTCTGGAAGGAATATTCAGGGATTTCCCGTGCGGCGTGGAGCGAAAGGATTCCGCCGTGCTCGCGGCCATCGACAGCGCCGTGGAGAATGCGGTTGCGAAGATCAACGGAGACATATCTTACGCAGTTAAGGAGGCGGCCGCGCTCGTCTCGTTCCGCGACAACTGCGTCTTCAACAAGGGAAATGCGATCCTGCAAAAGGCCAAGGGCAAGGGCAAGGGCGTCGCGGCGCAGGCGCCCGATGGCGAGGGCGAGGGCGAGGGGCGGGGGCGCGGCGCTGAGGACGCCGAGGGCGACGACCTCACCAGGGCGTCCGACGCGTGGCACATCGCAGTCGCCCAGACTATCAGCAAGGTATCGACCAAATTACAGACGGAACTTCTCAGCAGCAAAATCATGTCGTACTTTATTGAATGGTGCTCTCAGGACACCATGCGATCTGCTGGCGTCGCCTACGAAGACTGCATCGTGAAGTACGATGTGCTGGGTAGTCCTGTGACATTTTCTTCTGAGCGATCACCTGAGAATTCGGTTTACATTGGCATCCGCTCGCAGCTCCTGTCCACCGACCCCGTGCTCGACGCGGCGGTGGCCCGCGTGCAGAAGATATATTCACAGACGTTCTGGTCCATTCCAGATGCTTTCGTGTTCGGGCAGGCGGCCCAGGCGCTCGCGAAGAGAGGCTACAACGTTGACACCATCACAGTGTACTGGGGACCTGGCGGCGTCGGCCTGAGTCTCCTTACGAGTCATTTGGAGGCGATGTATGGCCACAAGAATCACAAATATTTCGATCCCAATGTATTTTTCGTCGATGACGAGTTACGCAAAGTGGTCGAGCTGCTGGTCGACGGCTTTATCTTCACAGGTCAAGAACGACCCAGCGGACAACGCGGAACCATGCGGGAGGATTGCGGCTCTGGCGTCAAACGCACCGCGGCTGGCATATTGGTTACTCGCGCCCCGACAGCCGAAGGGCGCGCCGCCCGCGTCGTGCCCTTCAATGTCGGGGCGCGAGGGCCGCCGCCGCGTTGCCTTGGCGCCGAGCCGCCAGGACTTACTCAAGAAATTTGCCGCAGCGGAGGGAGTTTCTGGAAGACTTCCCTATTCAATCTTGACCAAGATGTTTCGCATTGTGGGTTGGAAGAGACTCGAGGTCAACAAGTTCCTGGTGTTTGACGAGATCACAGAGCAGAACGTGGAGTCTTTGATGCGCAGGCTTGCCGTGGTGAAGATACAGGCGCGGTTTTTCGATCGCCTGTATGTTGAGGAGAACTTCGGTGACGCCGCGGCCGCCGGGATCTTCGCCCGTGACCCAGATGCGAAGGAGTTTCTCATGTCCTCCGTCGGCGTCGCCGCTGGGCATCGAGTGCAGTTCGCCTTCGAGGATGATCACGGCGCAGAGGCGTGTCGCGACATTATCGTTCGGTATGCGCGCTGTGGTGGCGATCGAGGAATCACGGAGAAGTCGCTGCGGCAGGCTTGTGGCCTCCTCGAGAAGACGTCGAACGTGGCTGGGTCCCTGCAGGCGGAGATCGACGCGCCCAACTCGCAGGGGCATGGGTGCACAGCCCCCAAGGAGTGGTTAGATTTCAGCATGGCTCTCATTCAAGAATGTCAAAAGAAAAACATGGACTTCCTTACGCTTCCAGCTTTCAAGGCGATGTCGCTGCCGACCAGTTGCAAGCTTCCTGCCCCTAAGCCGAAGGCCTTTCAGCGCCTGCAGACAGAGGGTCTATGGGTGGGCATTGGAACAGTGGGCAAGGCGGCCGATCGCATCGCGCCGCGCATACGCACCAAGAACGGCATGAGCGCGCTGATCGACGAGAGCTCGATGGGCGCGTGCAACTACCCAGAGGTCTACGACATGAAGTCCTTTCGGTCAGTATTCTTTGAGCACGGAGCTCGCAAAACTAACGCTGTGGTTCTGGCGGATGCACTGGGCAAAGGCATTCGGCGCCCCGGCCGACAGGCTGCCGAGAAGGCTGCGCGCGAGGCGGCGTGGTCGGAGAGGGCTGAATCAGTTCGACGCATGGAGTCTTTCATCGATACTTTGGCGAGCAGGGACAAGCGCGCCCAGGAAATCAAGAGGAGGCGCCTCACGGCCAAGGCTAGCGGCCCGAGCTCGCAGGGGGAGTCGGCTCATTTCGACGACGAGGTTTCGATTACGGTTTCCACGGGGTACCATCACAAGGTGGAGTGGCCGCCGCGAGCTTAAATTTTGACCTTGGATCGATGGTAGATCCTGCATCTTGTACGGACGGTGAATGGATCAGCATCGGGATCTCGGTCTGCGGTCCATAGTGGATCTCGAGTCGTCTGAGTGATCGTGAGGGAATATGAGAAGGGGGAGGGAGGCGGGCCCGATCAGTAAAATTGGCGCGCGCTCGGTGGATGCGGCTTCGCCTGAGGTCTCGCCTCTTCGTCGACGACTCTGTGGGCGCGCAGTCCATGGACCAGCGCTTGCAGAAGGTTTTGCTCACCAACACGTTCGATTTGGACATGGAGAACTTCTTGTTTTGCATCCTTCCGCAGATGTTGAAGCGGCTGAGCCTCCTGGACGAGAAGGTTTTCGCAGAAGAATTTGAAGTCCTTAATCGTCTGCAAAAGAATCGGCGCGAAGTTTGCGAGCAGGAACTCGGCGTGGGATTGTCTGTCGGCAAAGGGATTCTCTTGGAGGTCGCGTGCGGGGCATCCGTGCCCGCTGCTTTCAGAGGGAATGAGTTCCTTGCTGCCCTGTCCAGGGCGTCCAGGATGCTGAGGTGGCTCGCGGTTTCGCTGCTGCCTAAGGTGCACCTCGCGATGCAACAGCACGAGGGGAAATGGGCGGAGTCTTCTACATTTAGTTATCTATGGCAAGGCGTAGAGAACTACATACTGCAGCACGTGCTCAATTTCATTTGCGAGGAGCGCGTGAAGCACCTGTCCTTGCATTTCGACGGCGTGCGCGTGGACGTGGACCGCGTCGCCGTGACGGGGAGCTTGGGCGATTTCTGCTCGGGTTGCTCTGCGCGAGTTCACGCTGCCACCGGATACACCGTCACGCTGCGCAACAAGGAGCATTCCTATTTCTTCGACCTCCTGCGCGCGAAGAGCGCGGCAGTCGTTGATGAGGGCGGCCCACGCAGCAACGAAGACAACAAGCATCTGTTTCTACGGGGCAACTGCATACCCAGTGCGATCGCCGCACTGACTTCTCAGTGGGCGAAAGCGCGAGAGAATATTTCGGAGCCGCAGGACGAGGTTTTCAGGAAGTACCGCGACGTGGCAGAGCTGCTGGAGACGCCGCTCTTTCCGCGGGCGAGCCTCCTGGACTGCAAGGAAGGGCGCTACCTTCTTCACGCGGAGAACGGCGGGCTTCCGCATTGCATCGGCGCGGTGATCCAGAATGGGAGCGTCGTGATTTGCGAGGAGGGCGCTGCTCGTAAGATGAGTGTTTTTGATTTCGAGGAATGCTACGCCAGCGCGCTCGACATGAAGATGGTAGTGGCTTTCCGTCTGGGCGATAGCATTGATCCTGAGGAGAGCGCGCGGCTGGACGGGCTGCTGGATCTCCTGGCTGCTGGCCGATGGGACGATGACGGGCCGACTCCGCCGTCGAGGAAGCGACGTCGCCTCGCCTCCAGGGCGGCAAGAGCAGCGCGCGGCAGCCCTGTGTCATCGTCTTCGCCGTCCCCGACACCTTCAGCGCGCTCCGCGGCCCCCTCGAACATCAACTCCAGGCGCCACAATGAGAACCTCAATTTCATCGAGCTGCTGCGTGCGAAGGGTCTGGCAGTAGACGATTACGACAGCGGCGCGCCGAGCAGTGCGGGCGACCAGCTGCTTCGGCGCGGCAACTGCATACCCTGCGCGTTCGCAGCAGTGACTGGACAGTGGCAGAGCGTGCGAGAGAAGATTTCGGGGCAGCAGGTTGCAGATTTCAGGAAGTACCGCGACGTGGCAGAGCTGCTGGGCACGATATTCTTCCCGCGGGCGAGTCTCCAGGATTGCAAGGAGGGGCGCTACCTTCTTCACGCGGAACACGACGGGCTTCCGCACTGCGTTGGCGCGGTGTTCCAGCACGGGGAGGTCGTCATCTTCGAGAAAGGCAAGGCGCAGAAGATGAGCGTGTCCGCTTTCGAGGAGTGCTACGCCAGCGCGCTCGATATCAAGACGGTTGTGGCTTTCTGCCTGGATGAGGATGGCATCGACGATGGCGAGAGTTCGCGGCTGGACGGGCTGCTAGATCTACTGGCCGCTGGAGACGACGAGGGCAGCGAGGCCAGTTGCGACGGGGAGAGCTTCGACGGAGGCACTGTAGACGTACACTCTGAGCTACTGCGAGCGCTGAAGGCGGAGGTGGACGCCGCGAAAGCGGCCGTTCGTGGAGGCAGTCAGTCGCGTTGCATTCTCTGCCCCTTCAAAGAGTTTGACGAGAGCAGCCCCAAGGTGAAGCGGAACCTGCTGACGCACCTGTGTAATTACCATAACCCAGAGAGGAAGAGTCAACGAACTGGCGATCGGCAGATGGGCTTCGGTAACTACGTGGCGTCCGGCACGAAGCAGATGAAGATGGTCTTCGCGATGTTCGACTCCGATCGATGCCAGGGGAAAAGCCAAGGGCGGTATCTCGAACGCACTGCTCAGATGTTGCGAGAGAGCGTGAAGCCTGCGCTGGCCTGCCTCAGGATTGATCGCGACATCCGTCTCCTGTTGGACGGCGCTGGCCCGATATTCATCAACGCAGCCGCCATCATGTCCGAGCCGCCCGAGGGCCCGACGACGCTGGCGAGGCGCGTCGGAGATACGTACTACAGCCACGCGTTCGCAGAGATTATCTTCAAGGAGTTCATGCTGAACCACGGGCGCGCTCGGCCCACTCGCGCGCGCATCGTGGCGAGATGCGCGGAGGCGGGGTCGCAGCTGACGCACTTGCTCCCGCAGGAGGTCACCAAATGGTTGGAGCTGCTGGAAGATCTCCTCAGCGCGCCATTTGTTCGCGCTGCGCGCGATCAGCTCATGCAGCAGTTGCTCGATCACGACGAGTTCGTGCACGTGTCGATCGACGCCACCATCAGGGCGGCCATGCGCATCAAAGGGCAGGCGAATTACCGGGACTCTGCGGAGAAGAGAGCCGCCGCGCCTTTTGACGACACGGTTGCCAAGAGGCGCATCCTCACGGTGCGCGGCCGCACGGCGGCCGTCGCAGGCATGTGGCCGATCGCGTCTGAGGCCGCGCGGAACATCAAGGATATGCTTCAGATGCGTCTCCCACAAGCAGCTCTCGATCAGTGCCGCTCGATCGCGACTGACGACCCCTCTGGTGAGTTGTACGGCCAGTTGCTAGAGATCTGCAAGAATCTGACGTGGCTCAGCTTGGACCCAGTGCACCTAGCTATCGTTTACAACTCGGCTCACTGGAAAAAGCATTCGCAGTAGGCTTAGTTGTTGCCCGATGCCGATCGTGCCACCTCCATGATCGTTGTCGTCGTTCGAAGATTCCGATCGTCGATCGTTGGCATCTGCGGTCGCCATGACCGCCCAGTGAGACTGCGCCGAGGCCAGGGCAGACAGCGCTGCGCACGGTTCTGAACAAATTCAACAAGATTGATTATCAGGCTACCTCGGACGCGTGGGGCCCAGCTTATACAGGCGGACAATTGCAACCTCTGACCCCAGACCAGAACAGAAGTCGGGACGCAGTGAAGAACGGCAGCATGCCCAGACGAGAGGCGCAGCGCCTCCTGGATAACCTGAATGGGGAAGAGCCTTTCAAGAACACCGATGATTTCGTCAGAGCCATGGCGGCTATTACATCAGTATATTGGGATGAGGCCACTTGCGCAGATGCTTTCCTTTCCCCGATCGCTCCCATTCGTTCGGTCGTTCGCCGTTTGTCAATGCCGCCGTCGGTCGCATGATCGAGATCTGCATATCGATGATCTCGTTTCCTCAGGTGAACCGGGGCACGGCGAGCGGGCGGCTCTTGGTAGATGTGCTCTGGTCGGCTACGTCGGTGGAGCGGGTGCAGTTCTTGTTCAACAACACGCGGATGCGCCACTCCCTACCCAAGAAGTACCAATCGCTGATTGGTTCTGGCACGTCGCCGAACGAGGCGTTGCACGCCGAGGTCAACAGGTGGTTCCGCAACCAGCCCGAGCTCTACCTTGAGACGCTGGAACTGCAGCTGGCGGCGGCCACCCACGCCAAGCTGATCGCGCACAACGCCGCCATGTACGCGCCAGCTCTGAGAGCGCTCACCTCGCAGACAGTGCTCGCGACTGCGATTGGCCGCCAGCTCGCATCCCCTGACGAATGGCAGCGCTTCTGCGCGGCGCAGGCATCGGGTGTTGGCGCGCCTGCGAAGGCGTGCCTGCCCAAGAGCGCCCAGCGGAAGGCTTCTCAGCCCTTGGCCAAGCAGTGGGCAAAGGATCGTAAGAACTTTAAGTCTATCGTTCGGAAGAGGCCCGCGGCAATGAAGGCTGCGCAGAAGAGGCCGGCGGCAATGAAGGGGGTCAAGCGCACTCCCTTCAATAGGAAGCGGGTCATCCGTTAGATCGCCTTCCGCTCGCAGCTTTGATGATGACCCAGTAGGTACCTGTACAAGCATTTCAGTTGTGGATATCTAAGATGTAGCAACAGGCCCAGCTGTTTAATGCGGTTGCGAGGGTTGTCTAGGGTCAGGCAAACGTTCAGACCTCGTGCCGCTTCTGGGGCGCTTCTCACGCGACATTTGAGAGTTTTGATTAGCATTCGTTCTTCAGATCTGACGGTGGAAAATATTTGCATGTCGAATTAACTAGCCAAGGCGCTTCCCGCCCCGCTCGGTCAGGTCAGCCTTGCAGCCCAGTTGTCCAGTCTAATCGTTCAGATCGCTCATGCCATTCGGCCAGCTCTCTCATGTCATTATCCCACAGCCAATTGACTGCAAAGGATCGTAAGGCATCGGGTGTTGGCGCTGCTCGGCAGACAGACACGCATACACTATTTAAATTATTTGAATTATTTCCGCCGAGGCGATATTCAAATAATTTAAATAATTCAAATCGTGATGGTTGATCAGCTTGCTGGGCTGCCTTCCAGCATATTTAAATAATTTAAATAATTTAAATAGTTCAAATAATTTAAATCGCTGCGGCTGGTTTAAATTATTTGAATCATTTAAATTATTTAAATTATTTAAATTATCTAAATATGCTGGCAGCCTGCTCGGCAGATAGACACGCATACACTATT